GCAACATGCAGTGGAGGATCACTGGGTTTCAGCCCTACTGCAGAGACTACACACACACTTTGAATCAGACTATATCAATCCAAACTGAACCGTGTCCTTTAATTTCCATCCCGTTTTTATTACAGAGGTTACACGCCCACACACGCAGTTCACTCGAGTACATGCTTCACTGAATGAACAACAAAGATGGAACGCAATTTAAGATCCTCGGAGACAGATGGTGTGATGGCAAGTAGCCCTATTATCAAAATAATGTACGTTACTTACCAGAGAGAACACAACGAAGCAACAATTGGATCTAAAGATTAAAGACCATTATTCATTAGATGTAAAAGTGCGATTACAATGTAATGGAAAGTATTATATGAAATGTTTCAATAAAGCATGGAGCGCCGAGGGCCAGAATCAAACATTTGCTGATGTGTTTAGATGAAACGCTACATATGCTGTAATGTGATTTGAATGATTAAAAAGTCATTATAATCGGTTGAGATAATGGAGGCAGATGAAGACAGTATTTTGAATCCTGTGTTAGAATCAGACTAATCTACTACTGACACCACACACAGTCATCTGGACATCTCATGTTCTACTCAAGGGCCTGTGTGTGTGTGTGTGTGTGTGTGTGTGTGTGTGTGTGTGTGTGTGTGTGTGTGTGTGTGTGCGTGCGTGCGTGCGTGCGTGCGTGCGTGCGTGCGTGCGTGCGTGCGTACGTGCGTGCGTGCGTGCGTGCGTGTGCGTGTGTGTGTGTGTGTGCGCGTGTGTGTGTGTGTGTGTGCGTGTGTGTGTGTGTGTGTGTGTGTGTGTGTGTGTGCGTGAGTGTGTGTGTGCGCGCGCTGACATCCCCAGTTCTTGCTCAGATTTAGTGCTGACGAATAAAACTCTGAGTCAGGATACTGATAGTCTCCTTTCGTATCCTCTATAAAAACATTTACGCTGTCCAGCTGTGTGTGTGTGTGTGTGTATGTTGAAGTTCAGAGCGATTATATTGGGGTACACAGGGCTGGCCCATAGCAGACGGTTCCCTGGGAGAGTTTTAATTGGTTCAGCATCAGTGGAAAGGAAAAAGGGAAGGTTAACTGCTTAAAGAGGCAGGAGAAGAATGTTCATCATTCCCAGCTGCTCTCCCCTTTCGTCACTACAATCAGCATCAGGGGTTTTAGATAAAGTCCTCTTACCAGGATGAATAAAGATAGAGAATAGCTTCCTATGTATTTGTACAGATGTCAATGATTGTGTTCTGGCATGGCTGTAAAACTCTATTGCTCTTTGATACTGTCTAAAAGACTCACGCATGCACGCATACACACACACACACACACACACACACAATGTAGTGATTATTGTAGTTATTATGGAGGATGTCTGGAACAGGGCTTGAACCAACGATCTTGCAGCTACAGGGAAATCAGAGTACCGGAACTAAAAGGGCATATATATATATATATATATATATATATATATACAGTACCAGTCAAAAGTTTGGACACACCTACTCATTCCATGTTTTTTCTTTATTTTGAATATTGTCTACATTGTAGAATAATAGTGAAGTCATCAAAACTATGAAATAACACATATGGAATCATGTAGTAACCAAAAAAGTGTTAAACAAATCAAATTACATTTTATATGTGAGATTCTTCAAAGTAGCCACCCTTTGCCTTGATGACAGCTTTGCACACTCTTGACATTCTCTCAACCAGCTTCATGAGGTAGTCACCTGGAGTGCATTTCAATTAACAGGTATGCCTTGTTAAAAGTAAATTTAAATGTAAATGTAAATGTTAAAAGTTAATTTGTGGAATTTCTTTCCTTCTTAATGCGTTTGAGCCAATCAGTTGTGTTGTGACAAGGTAGGGGGTGGTATACTGAAGATAGCCCTGTTTGGTAAAATACCAAGTCCATATTATGGCAAGAACAGCTAAAATAAGCAAAGAGAAATTACAGTCCATCATTACCTTAAGACATGAAGGTCAGTCAATCCGGAAAATGTCAAGAACTTTGAAAGTTTATTCAAGTGCAGTCGCAAAAACCATCAAGCGCTATGATGAAACTGGCTCTCATGAGGACCACCACAGGAAAGGAAGACCCAGAGGTACCTCTGCTGCAGAGGATAAGTTAATTAGAGTTACCAGCCTCAGAAATCGGCAATTAACTGCACCTCAGATTGCACCTCACAGAGTTCAAGTAGCAGACACATCTCAACATCAACTGTTCAGAGGAGACTGTGTGAATCAGGCCTTTATGGTCGAATTGCTGCAAAGAAACCACTACTAAAGGACACCAATAATAAGAAGAGACTTGCTTGGACCAAGAAACACGAGCAATGGACATTAAACCGGTGGATACATGTCCTTTGGTCTGATGAGTCCAAATTTGTGATTTTTGGTTCCAACCGCCATGTCTTTGTGAGACGCAGAGTAGGTGAATGGATGATCTCTGCATAATAATAATATGCCATTTAGCAGACGCTTTTATCCAAAGCGACTTACAGTCATGTGCGCATACATTCTTACGTATGGGTGGTCCCGGGGAACGAAACCACTACCCTGGCGTTACAAGCGCCATGCTCTACCAATTGAGCTACAGAGGACCTCATGTGTGGTTCCCACCGTGAAGCATGGAGGAGGAGGTGTGATGGTGTGGGGGTGCTTTGCTGGTGACACTGTCTGTGATTTATTTAGAATTCAAGACACACTTAACCAGCATGGGTACCACAGCATTCTGCAGCGATACGCCATCCCATCTGGTTTGTGCTTAGTGGGACTATCATTTGTTTTTCAACAGGACAATGACCCAAAACACACCTCCAGGTTGTGTGAGTGCTATTTGACCAAGAAGGAGAGTGATGGAGTGCTGCATCAGATTACCTGGCCTCCAAAATCACCCGACCTCAACCCATTTGAGTTGGTTTGGGATGGGTTGGACCGCAGAGTGAAGGAAAAGCAGCGAACAAGTGCTGAGCATATGTGGGAACTCCTTCAAGACTGTTGGAAAAGCATTCCAGGTGACTACCTCATGAAGCTGGGTGAAAGATTTCAAAGCTGTCATCAAGGCAAAAGGTGCTATTTGAAGAATCCAAAATATAAAATATATTTTGATTTGTTTAACACTTTTTTGGTTACTACATGAGTCCATATGTGTTATTTCATAGTTTTGATGTCTTCACTATTATTCTACAATGTAGAAAATAGTAAAAATAAAGAAAAACCCTTGAATTACTAGGCGTGTCCAAACTTTTGACAAGTAGTGTATGCACTTTGCACTTTGACTGAGACGCACAAATCCTGCTGCTTCATATGGTGCCCAACAGAATTGATAGATTATATTTTATAATGTTTCCCGGTCTGATGAAGAACCATAGCAGCTGTACACACACACACACACACGCACACACGCACGCACACACACACACACACACACACACACACACACACACACACACATACATACATACACACACACACCTTTGCCACTTACATCTTGAAACACTTATGGAAATATAGGCATGGCAGAGGATCCATGAGAGATGAGGCAGTAAACGTGGCTACAGGTTGTTCAACCCATGTTGTCAATGAGCTGAGCGGTTGAAAAAACTCCTGTGGGCTAAATGAGAATCATTTAAAGAGGTTATAATGCATTGTAATTATATTTTATGAAGAATACAGAGGGATACTGTAGCGGCCTACAGTAATAATATGTAGTCTACAGTTTAGAGGAGAAGAGATGCACTGCCAAAGTCTCAGAGTCTAAATCTACCACAGCTTTCAGTTCTTAAATGACCCAAGTTCATTCAACTTTAATGCACTGCTTATTTGTTATTGTTGCCATTTGGAACAAGTCTTGAATGGGGAAAGCCCCGGCTATTTTGGAACATTTCAAAGGGAATGGATGTGGGCAAGGAGAGGGCAATAGAAGCCGTTCCTCATTACAGTTTATGACATTGAGATTCGCTATGGTCAGTTCTCTTCCCAGAGAGCTCTCTCCAGTGGGGTTGCCAGTTTAGAAGATATCCAAACTTTACATTTAAATAAATTGAGCAGTAAATGTAAACTGAATTAATAAATTAGATATTGCATTGTGTGAATAATTTGATGTTTTATAAGTGTAGTTTTTTTCAGCAACGGTTTCCCAAAAGACTGAAAGACTGCAACAATACCAGATAAAGAGATTTATTTCATAACTGGCAACCCGCTGTCCAGGGGCTGGCCCTGTATAGCGCGGTGCACCAGCGAGGAGAGTCGGAGGCAGGGCAGATGGTTTGTGTGGACATTACTGGGATAGCATCCAGAGTTTTAGGTTGGAAAATTGGGAGACGGGAGAAGGAGACGCATTTCCCATACAGAAGAGCCACTCTGTACAGATTTGAATCCGGACGAAGCCTGCTATGCGTAAAACTCCCAGTTTTTTAGATGGATTATTTGGATAGTTGGAAATAACTACTGTCTTTTGAAATAACGGTCAAGTCAGAGAATGAAGTAAAACGGATGTATTTTCGAGAGTGCTGTATCAGTTGTTAACTTGTGGATGTTAAAATGCTGCGTACACTTGGAGTTTATAACTGGTATGCAAAGAAATTCCAGAAGCGCAAAGTCAGCGTCTTTTCCTAATTTGTCTAGTGATTTGGAGTGCTGAACTTGGGTTTGGAATAACGGTTTCTAATACCCGGAATGATTTTCAGGAATTGCTGACTCAGTCAATGGGTGCCTGGTTTTGGTGAGTTTTCCTGTCTGCGTTTTCATGCGGCTGTCAGGTTAATAGCAGGCTGGTGAAGTGGGGTTTGGGGTTATCTGCTGTTCCACTGCGAAAAGTAAAGACATGCTTTGAAACACAACACTAAAGTGTTTGCCTCTCTCTTGCACTCTATTTTTTACTGCGCTGGACTGTCTTTTTATTTATTGAAAACAAATGTACTAAATACGCATACAGGTCCCATGTACACTATTGGATATTCCTCACTCTGTCGGATTGTTAATTGTAATTGACAGCTTCCCATCATGCGGGGAGCGTTTGTTCTGGGTCTGTTCCTGCTCTGTCTGCTAGTGTGGGCAGGACACGCAGAGAAACAGGGCCATCTCAGACGGATGCCCTTGCGCGGAGGCACCAGACTCAACATGGGGCGTCTGCAGCCGGGCGCAGCCGGCAGTGCTGTCGGCGGGGGAGGAACACGCCCAGGACCTGGCTCGGCCTCGGTGCACTCCGGGCTCAGCGTCAGGCGCTGGGAGGACATGCAGGCGGACCAGGCCTCTGTTCCCCGGGTCAGGACTGGGGCTGGACAGGGCAGGAGAGGTGGCGCACTGGCAGGGGCAGCAGGGAGGAGGGCAGCCGGGCATAGGGTTACCCTCCAGCCTGGCATGCTTCAGGATGAAGGCGCTCTCGGGGCGAGGAACAGACAGGCCCGCATGCCAAGCAGCGCAGGCTCGCCTAACCTCCTGGCGAGCTTCGCAGGGAAAAACCGCATCCTGGTTATTTCTGCCCCGCACGACTCAGACGGTTACTACCGGCTAATGATGACGCTGCTGAAGCCGGACGTGTACTGCGAGCTGGCGGAGCGGCACGTGCAGCAGATCGTGATATTCCACCAGGAGGGGGAGATGGGTGGGAAGGTGAGGCGGATCACCAGAGAGGGGAAGGTGATGGAGGAACCTTTGGACACCACACTCATCCCCCGCCTCATGACCTTCCTCAAACTGGAGAAAGGTAAAGGCCATGTCTGAAAACTATCCCATACTCCTTCAGTGTTGGCAGATCTGCGAGCACCACATACATTCTAAAAAATGTTGGGTTAAAACAACCCAATTTGTGTTATTTGGTAACCCAGCACTGGGTAAATATTGGACAAAACACATTGAGTGAATAACCCAAACATGGATTAATTTAACCTTCAGTTGTTTAGTTTTTTTTTACCATCAATTGGTTGACCCAGCAGCTGGGTCTTCTTTAATATCATCCATTTGTATTTCCAGGAGGCGTGGCCTATTAGGGGCATGTCTTTCAGTACATTATATTTGGCCACCCGTAAGAGTAAATGTCACCCATGTTAATCATGTTATTTATATGCCCCCAGCATTGAGATATGCATAGGCTCCTGAGAAACTCATACACTTGTGTACGCCTCATTAAAACTACAAAAGTGACAGTGTTCAGCCTCAACATTTGACAACAATACAACAGAACAGATGAACCGGGAATGACATTTACTGTCATGGGTGGCCAAAAATAACTATCTCAAAGCCACGCCCCTACTAAGCCACATCTCCAGTCTTCTGATCTGAGCCACTTGGTCATGTCTAAATCACAGGAGGTTGGTGGCACCTTAATTGGGGAGGGTGGGCTCATGGTAATGGCTGGAGTGGAATCAGCGGAATGGTACTAAATACATGGTTTCCATGTGTTTGATGCCATTCCATTTACTCCGTTCCAGCCATTATTATGAGCCGTCCTCCCTTCAGCAGCCTCCTGTGAACTCAATAACCCAGCACCCAGCATCAATACCCCAGCAGTTTTTATCAAAACAAACCAACTTAGGGACCCAACTCCAGCAACCTAGCATTTTTTAGAGTGTAGGGGGCCTACAATGAACCATCATCATATTGGTTACACCTGTCCTAGTCCATTCAGACCGGTCACCTGTTTGATGTTAGGAGTGGGGGTTGGCTATTTGCATTTTTTCTGGATGTGGTATGTTGACAAAGCAGTGAAAATGAAAATGAATTTGTGAGGGTAATAACATAAAGCGGAGTCTTTCCAGGTAAGTTTAGGATGCTTACAGCGTGCTTGGTGATATTGTCTCCTTTCTGCATGTTGATTGTGGCCAAAGCCATGAAAACTAGATTATTTTATTCAGTAAATGTAATCTCTTATCTGTCACCCTGTCCTGTCCAGGTAAGTTTGGGATGGTCCTCCTGAGGAAAACCCTCCAGGTGGAGGAGAGGTACCCCTATCCAGTCAGGCTGGAGGCCATGTATGAGGTCATCGACCAGGCACCAATGAGGAAGCTGGAGAAGATCCGACAGAAGGGATTCGTCCAGAAGTGTAAAGGGGCGGGAGTAGAGGGCCAGGTGGAGGAGGGGGGCGTAGACTCAGGGACGGTAGTGGAAACAGGTGGACAGGTAGACCCGCCCCCAGAGAGGAAGCCGGTGAGGAAGCCAACGAGGAGACCCACGAGAACCACCACCGTTGCCACGACGACAACGAGGCCGACGACAACTACCACGACTATGCGACCCACAACGACCACGACAAAAGCCACCACGACAAAAGCCACCACGACAACCACACCAAAACCCAGACAGACTACAACGACAACGACCACAACTAAACGGCCTACGACCACACGACAGACCACCACTACTACAACCACAACAACAACCCAGAGACCCACAAAAGCCCAGACCACCCCTGACTGGCTGCCTGCCCCTAGGACCACGGCTGAGCCATATTACAGGGACAGGGACATGTACCCAGCCAAGACCACCCCGTCTGGGGACAACCGAACAGAAAAGGAGGGGAAGGACCACAACGTCCATCAGCAGGCAGGAGTGGTGCCCACCCAGCACAAACCCGCCAAGGGCAAACCTACCAAGAGGAAGAATGAGATGGTATGCAGTGGACTTATTACATTTCACTTATTACATTGCTGTTGAGACAGAATGTTGTATCAGTCTTGATTTTGATGATCAATTAAGTCTTCTACTCCTCTCCTCTTCTCTCCTCTCATCCAGGTTTTAAATAATGAGTATGAGGAGAAGTATGAACCTGGCCGGCCCACCGTCAGCGACCCAGAGACACAGACAGAGGTCAACACAGAGGTCAGCCCAGCCAAGAGGCGCAAGGGAAAACATGACAATACTGAGAAAAAGAAGAAAAAGAAGAACGGCAAACCAGACAAGGACAAGGCCGAGAGGAGGGGAGCGAAGGCCGAGAGGAGAGGAGCGAAGGCCGAGAGGAGAAGAGCGAAGGCAGGGAAGGAGGGCAAAAACAACGGAAAGAAGAACGGAAGGAAGGTGTCAAAGAATCCTGAGAAAGAGGAGTACTACAAACCCACCAAGAAGCCTCCGTCTCCTAGGGGATCCCTGGCTTCCTTCCTGGACTACTTTGAGAACAGGAGACGACTCGTGGTAAGTGGTTTCCTTCCTGGACTACTTTGAGAACAGGAGACGACTCGTGGGAAGTGGTTAACTTCCTGGACTACTTTGAGAACAGGAGACGACTCGTGGTAAGTGGTTTCCTTCCTGGACTACTTTGAGAACAGGAGACGACTCGTGGGAAGTGGTTTCCTTCCTGGACTACTTTGAGAACAGGAGACGACTCGTGGTAAGTGGTTTCCTTCCTGGACTACTTTGAGAACAGGAGACGACTTGTGGTAAGTGGCTTCCTTCCTGGACTACTTTGAGAACAGGAGATGACACGTGGTAAGTGGCTTCCTTCCTGGACTACTTTGAGAACAGGAGACGACTCGTGGTAAGTGGCTTCCTTCCTGGACTACTTTGAGAACAGGAGACGACTCGTGGTAAGTGGCTTCCTTCCTGGACTACTTTGAGGACAGGAGACGACTCGTGGTAAGTGGTTTCCTTCCTTGACTACTTTGAGAACAGGATACGACTCGTGGTAAGTGGCTTCCTTCCTGGACTACTTTGAGAACAGGAGACGACACGTGGTAAGTGGCTTCCTTCCTGGAGACGACTCGTGGTAAGTGGCTTTCTTCCTGGACTACTTTGAGAACAGGAGACGACTCGTGGTAAGTGGCTTCCTTCCTGGACTACTTTGAGAACAGGAGACGACTCATGGGTGGGGCGCCAGGATCCCCAGAGAAACTGTCAAGGCTACAAACACAACACTAAAACTAATTAAAGCTTTTAGAGAACTAATTAAGCAATATATTGGATAATATAACAGCTGTACAGTACTAGCAGACTGTACAGTGGTGTTGTAATAGATTGCAGTATGGGATATTGTAACTAATAATGAGAATACATTTAATTTAAATCAAATTTTTTCCACATCCCAAGAATATATCAAGCCACAATACAATAGCACTAATAGCGCACAGTAGCCTACACAGTCAGAAACGTCATAGCACTGACATAAGTGCTGTTGTAAACTGCCTAGCACTGACATAACAGCTGTAGTAAACTGACTAGCACTGACATAACAGCTGTAGTAAACTGCCTAGCACTGACATAACAGCTGTAGTAAACTGCCTAGCACTGACATAACAGCTGTGGTAAACTGCCTAGCACTGACATAAGCGCTGTAGTAAACTGCCTAGCACTGACATAAGCGCTGTAGTAAACTGCCTAGCACTGACATAACAGCTGTAGTAAACTGCCTAGCACTGACATAACAGCTGTAGTAAACTGCCTAGCACTGACATAACAGCTGTGGTAAACTGCCTAGCACTGACATAAGCGCTGTAGTAAACTGCCTAGCACTGACATAACAGCTGTAGTAAACTGCCTAGCACTGACATAACAGCTGTAGTAAACTGCCTAGCACTGACATAAGCGCTGTAGTAAACTGCCTAGCACTGACATAACAGCTGTAGTAAACTGCCTAGCACTGACATAACAGCTGTAGTAAACTGCCTAGCACTGACATAACAGCTGTAGTAAACTGCCTAGCACTGACATAACAGCTGTAGTAAACTGCCTAGCACTGACATAACAGCTGTAGTAAACTGCCTAGCACTGACATAACAGCTGTAGTAAACTGCCTAGCACTGACATAACAGCTGTAGTAAACTGCCTAGCACTGACATAACAGCTGTAGTAAACTGCCTAGCACTGACATAACAGCTGTAGTAAACTGCCTAGCACTGACATAACAGCTGTAGTAAACGCCTAGCACTGACATAACAGCTGTGGTAAACTGCCTAGCACTGACATAACAGCTGTAGTAAACTGCCTAGCACTGACATAACAGCTGTAGTAAACTGCCTAGCACTGACATAACAGCTGTACAGCGGTGTGTTCTGCAGCCTGTCTAGAATTGTATCATAGGAGTGCAGCCGAGGGAAGGGTGGGAAATACAGTCCCCATCCTCTCCCTCACCGCTGTCTAATGTAAACACAATCTCAACAGCGGTGTGTGTGCGTGTGCTGGTGTATGAGTGCGTGCGTGCGTGCGTGCGTGAGCGAGTGCGTGCGTGCATGTGTGTGTAACCCAGTCTAACCCAGTCTCTCTCTCTCTCTCTCTCTCTCTCTCTCTCTCTCTCTCTCTCTCTCTCTCTCTTCTCTCTCTCTCTCTCTCTCTCTCTCTCCCCCTCTCTCTCCCTCTCTCTCTGTGTGTGTTTCTCCAGATCATAACGGCCCCCAGTGAGGAGAACACTATGTATGTGCAGCAGCGGGATGAATACCTGGAGACGGTGTGTGAGATGGCCATTAGGAAAGTCTCCATCATCACCATCTTTGGCTCGCTCACCAACTCCACCATGAAGATAGAGCACTACCAGCTGGGTAAGTACCTTACACCATTACAGCACTACAGACAGGGTCAACACCACCATCTTGATGTGGTGTCAAACATTTATTTATTTATTTTATTTTATTTCACCTTTATTTAACCAGGTAAGCCAGTTGAGAACAAGTTCTCATTTACAACTGCGACCTGGCCAAGATAAAGCAAAGCAGTGCGATAAAAACAACAACACAGAGTTACATATGGGGTAAAAAACATAAAGTCAAAAATACAACAGAAAATATATATACAGTGTGTGCAAATGTAGCAAGTTATGGAGGTAAGGCAATAAATAGGCTATAGTGCAAAATAATTACAATAGTATTAACACTGGAATGCTAGATGTGCAAGAGATTATGTGCAAATAGAGATACTGGGGTGCAAAAGAGCAAAATAAATAACAATATAGGGATGAGGTAATTGGGTGGGCTAATTTCAGATGGGCTGTGTACAGGTGCAGTGATCGGTAAGGTGCTCTGACAACTGATGCTTAAAGTTAGTGAGGGAGATAAGAGTCTCCAGCTTCAGAGATTTTTGCAATTCGTTCCAGTCATTGGCAGCAGAGAACTGGAAGGAATGGCGGCCAAAGGAGGTGTTGGCTTTGGGAATGACCAGTGAGATATACCTGCTGGAGCGCAGACTACGGGTGGGTGCTGCTATGGTGACCAATGAGCTAAGATAAGGCGGGGATTTGCCTAGCAGTGATTTATAGATGGCCTGGAGCCAGTGGGTTTGACGACGAACATGTAGTGAGGACCAGCCAACAAGAGCGTACAGGTCACAGTGGTGGGTAGCGTATGGGGCTTTGGAGACAAAACGGATGGCACTGTGATAGACTACATCCAATTTGCTGAGTAGAGTGTTGGAGGCTATTTTGTAAATGACATCGCCGAAGTCAAGGATCGGTAGGATAGTCAGTTTTACGAGGGCATGTTTGGCAGCATGAGTGAAGGAGGCTTTGTTGCGAAATAGGAAGCCGATTCTAGAAATAACTTTGGATTGGAGATTCTTTATGTGAGTCTGGAAGGAGAGTTTACAGTCTAACCAGACACCTAGGTATTTGTAGTTGTCCACATACTCTAGGTCAGACCCGTCAAGAGTGGTGATTCTAGTCGGGTGGGCGGGTGCCAGCAGCGTTCGATTGAAAAGCATGCATTTAGTTTTACTAGTGTTTAAGAGCAGTTGGAGGCTACTGAAGGAGTGTTGTATGGCATTGAAGCTCGTTTGGAGGTTTGTTAACACAGTGTCCAATGAAGGGCCAGATGTATACAAAATGGTGTCGTCTGCTTAGAGGTGGATCTGAGAGTCACCAGCAGCAAGAGCGACATCATTGATATACACGGAGAAAAGTGTTGGCCCAAGAATTGAACCCTGTGGCACCCCCATAGAGACTGCCATAGGTCCAGACAACAGGCCCTCCGATTTGACACACTGAACTCTATCTGAGAAGTAGTTGGTGAACCAGGCGAGGCAGTCATTTGAGAAACCAAGGCTATTTAGTCTGCCAATAAGAATGCGGTGGTTGACAGAGTCGAAAGCCTTGGCCAGGTCGATGAAGACGGCTGCACAGTACTGTCTATTATCAATCGCGGTTATAATATCGTTTAGGACCTTGAGCGTGGCTGAAGTGCACCCATGACCAGCTCGGAAACCGGATTGCATAGCGGAGAAGGTACGGTGTTATTCGAAATGGTCGGTGATCTGTTTGTTAACTTGGCTTTCAAATACTTTCGAAAGGCAGGGCAGGATGGATATAGGTCTGTAGCAGTTTGGATCTACAGTGTCACCCCCTTTGAAGAGGGGGATGACCGCGGCAGCTTTCCAATCTCTGGGGATCTCAGACGTTATGAAAGAGAGGTTGAACAGACTAGTAATAGGGGTTGCGACAATTTCGGCGGCTAGTTTTAGAAAGAAAGGGTCCAGATTGTCTAGCCCAGCTGATTTGTAGGGGTCCAGATTTTGCAGCTCTTTCAAAACGTCAGCTGTCTGAATTTGTGTGAAGGAGAAGCGGGGGGGGGGGTATGGGCAAGTTTCAGCGGAGGGTGCAGAGTTGGTGGCCGGGGTAGTGGTAGCCAGATGGAAAGCATGGCCAGCTGTAGCAAAATGCTTGTTGAAATTCTCGATTAATGTAGATTTATCGGTGGTGATAGTGTTTCCTAGCCTCAGTGCAGTGGGCAACTGGGAGGAAGTGCTCTTATTCTCCATGGACTTTACAGTGTCCCAAAACTTTTTGGAGTTAGTGCTACAGGATGCAAATTTCTGTTTGAAAAAGTTTGCCTTTGCTTTCCTGACTGCTTGTGTATATTGGTTCCTAACTTCCCTGAAAAGTTGCATATCGCGGGGGCTATTTGATGCTAATGCTGTACGCCACAGGATGTTTTTGTGCTGGTCAAGGGCAGTCATGTCTGAGGAGAACCAGGGGCTATATCGGTTCTTAGTTCTGTATTTTTTGAATGGGGCATGTTTATTTAAGATTGAGAGGAAATTACTTTTAAGGAACAACCAGGCATCCTCTACTGACGGAATGAGATCTATATCCATCCAGGATACCTGGGCCAGGTCAATTAGGAAGGCCTGCTCGCTAAAGTGTTTTAGGGAGCGTTTGACAGTGATGAGGTGTGGTTGTTTGACCGCGGACCCGTTACGGACGCAGGCAATAAGGCAGTGATCGCTGAGATCCTGGTTGAAGACAGCTGAGGTGTATTTAGAGGGTATGTTAGTCAGGATGATATCTATGAGGGTACCCATGTTTACGGATTTAGGGTTGTACCTGGTAGGTTCGTTGATAATTTGCGTGAGGTTGAGGGCATCTAGTTTGGATTGTAGGATGGCCGGGTTATTAAGCATATCCCAATTTAGGTCACCAAGCAGTACGAACTCTGAGGATAAATGGGGGGCAATCAATTCACATATGGTGTCCAGGGCACAGCTGGGGGCTGAGGGGGGGGCTGTAGCAAGTGGCAACAGTGAGAGACTTATTTCTGGAAAGGTGGATTTTTAGAAGTAGAAGCTCAAACTGTTTGGGCACAGACCTGGATAGCATGATAAAGCTCTGCAGGCTATCTCTACAGTAGATTGCAACTCCACCTCCTTTGGCAGTTCTATCTAGACGGAAAATGTTATAGTTGGGGATGGAAATTTCAGAATTGTTGGTGGCCTTCCTGAGCCAGGATTCAGACACTGCTAGAACATCAGGGTTGGTGGAGTGTGCTAACGCAGTGAATAACTCAAACTTAGGAAGTAGACTTCTGATGTTTACGTGCAAGAAACCAAGACTTTTGTGATTACAGAAGTCAGCAAATGATAGCGCCTGGGGAGTAGGAGTGATACTGAGGGCTGCAGGGCCTGGGTTAGCCTCTACATCACCAGAGGAACAGAGGAGGACTAGAATAAGGATACGGCTAAAGGCTTTAAGAACTGGTCTTCTAGTGCGTTGGGTACATAGAATAAAGGGGGCAGATTTCCGGGTGTTGTAGAAAAGATTCAGGGCATTATTGACAGACAAGGATATGGAATGATATGAGTAAAGTGGGGGTAAACCTAAGCGTTGGGTAACAATGAAAGAGATAGTATCACTAGAGGCATCAATTGAGTCGGTCTCTGCGTGTATGGGGGGTGGGACAAAGGACCTATCTAAGGCAGGTTTAGCTGGGCTGGGGGATCTACAGTGAAATAGTACAATTAGAAATAACCGAAACAACAATAAGCTAACCATGTTTGGGCTGAGGCTAAACATAAACAGGATGTAGTACCGTAAAAAGGAACAGTCCAGCAGACATCAGCTGTATAGCTGAGTTATCATAAGGTCCGGTGAACAGCAATAGGATAGTTTGGAGGCTGCTAAAGCACTAGCAGGTAAGAGGCCACGGCTAGTGTGTGCTAGCGGGCCGGGGCTAGCAGATGGAATCTTCGTGGTCGACGTCGTCGTAACCACATCAGACGATTTCGTCGGCAGACCAGTCGTGTAGGATCGGCGGGGCTCCGTGTCAACACTAGGTGGTCCCGTCCGGTTGACAGAGAGGTAGATAGCCGGGAGATGGGCCTAGCTCAGGATGATTAGCCAGACCACAGCGTCCATTTAGTTGAAGCTAGCTGGTAGCGATGAATCCGGAGTTAAAGGTCCAGTGATTCAGTGATTCCGGCAGAAAAACTGATATGTTCTGGGTCGATAACGCGCTGTGCAGACTGGCCGAATATCCGGTGATTAATATCCAGTGATTAAATTAATCCCGCAGAAAAAAAAATCCAATGTTCTGGGTGAAATACCGCTAACTGTGGCTAATAGCTAATAGCAAGTAGCTAGTTAGCTGGCTAGCTAGTTTCAACTGGAGATTCTATATAAAAGGTAAGTCAATAATAGAATCCGTTCCACATTGAGTGAGGCGGGTTGCAGGAAAGTATATTTTGTAGAAGGATGAAAAGTCTGATAGTGAAATATGTACGAAAAATACAAAAACAACAGGGTATTTACAGGCTATTTACAGACACACGACAAAAACAGAACTGCACTACTTCGCCATCTTGGTCGGGTGAATGGAGGTGAATGGGGCATTATGATCATTGAATGGGAAACAGTATACAGAGAGAATGTATGATACGGAAGGGTTTTACAAAGACATGGTCCGGGTCAGGAAGAGAAGACAGCATCCAGGTCAGGAGATGAAGAGAGGGTCTGGGTCAGGAGAAGAAGAAGACAGGGTCCGGGTCAGGAGAAGAAGACAGGGTCCGGTTCAGGAGAAGAAGAAGACAGGGTCCGGGTCAAGAGAAGAAGAAGACAGGGTCCGGGTCAAGAGAAGAAGAAGACAGGGTCCGGGTCAGGAGAAGAAGACAGGGTCCGGGTCAGGAGAAGAAGAAGACAGGGTCTGGTTCAGGAAAAGAAGAAGACAGGGTCCGGTTCAGGAAAAGAAGAAGACAGGGTCCGGTTCAGGAAAAGAAGAAGACAGGGTCCGGTTCAGGAAAAGAAGAAGACAGGGTCCGGTTCAGGAGAAGAAGAAGACAGGGTCCGGGTCAAGAGAAGAAGAAGACAGGGTCCGGGTCAGGAGAAGAAGAAGACAGGGTCCGGGTCAGGAGAAGAAGACAGGGTCCGGGTCAAGAGAAGAAGAAGACAGGGTCCGGGTCAAGAGAAGAAGAAGACATGGTCCGGGTCAAGAGAAGAAGAAGACATGGTCCGGGTCAGGAGAAGAAGAAGACAGGGTCCGGGTCAAGAGAAGAAGAAGACAGGGTCCGGGTCAGGAGAAGAAGAAGACAGGGTCCGGGTCAAGAGAAGAAGAAGACTGGGTCCGAGTCAGGAGAAGAAGAAGACAGGGTCCGGGTCAAGAGAAGAAGAAGATACATTTTCTGGTTATACTGGTTAGAACATCCTGGTTGATTGTCTTCCCGGTGATACTGAGCAATTCCACTGTAACAGAGTGATGCTGAGACTCCAATCTTTCACTTTAAAATATATGCCAAACAAAAACCAATGATTGCAAAGTTAAACAAACCATACAACTCTATGTACAAGGACTACTTTTAAAATGTCCACAGAAAATTGTACAAAAAAAACACATTTACTTGAAGAACAGTACAGATGCAAAGTTTGGTAACTGAATGACGGCACAAACAGCACAAACCATAATTCTGTCACCAAACTTTGCTTCTGCACGGTTCGTCAAGTAAATGTGTTTGTAAAATGTTTAGCCCTACTGCAATTCATGTCTTAAATATCCTCTCCACTTTTACACATTTCCCGATGTAGTCCTTCATATTCACTAACTTTCATGCCGAGGTCCAGATGGAAACTGAATAAGGACTTGTGACTGTTGTATCCTTATTTCACCCTTCCTGTTTTAAACAGAATGATTCCAGGTGTTTGTACAGTCTCTGTAGCACAGAGGCGCAAACGATAACACTGAACATAATCGTAATGATGACATCGTGACAGCGTGACATTGTGACAGTGCCAAATACCTCTGGCTCCCAGACATGAAAAGTAATGGTGTTTACTAAACAAACCAGACCCGCCTCATACCAGATTTGTGCAAAGTTGATTGGCCTCTGTATGTCACCATAGACTATAGTAGGCAGTTACAGGAAACTAGCAAGCCACACTCATTCAGGTTGGAACCCATGTCTTATTGGGCCAACCATGGATGAAAATTAAAATAGAAATAAGCAGATCTGTATTTATCTTTAACTAAGCCTGGTGAGTAGATGGCGCCGGAGAAGATGGCTGCCGTTTTACAGCCCTCTAACCAATTGTGCTATTATGTGTGTTTTTTCGCGTTATTTGTAATTGATTCTATACGTAATGATTCTGCCATCGTCTCTTATAACCAAAAAGAGCTTCTGGATATCAGGACAGCGATTACTCACCTCGTATTGGACAAAGGTTTTTTCTTCAACGAGTCAGACGCAAAGGATATCCTACAGACACCCGACAAGGCCCAAATCCCCGTCATTCGCAGGAGAAAGAGACGGAGATATCGTGGACGTCTTGTAAGGATCCGACAGCGAGCGAGTAAACTGCCTCTTCCATCAAACCTATTAGCCAATGTTCAATCATTTGAAAATAAATTAGATTACCTAATTACGGTTATCCTACCAACGAGACATTAAAAACTGTAATATCTTATGTTTCACCGAGTCGTGGCTGAACGATGACATGGACAACATTCAGGTGACGGGATATACGCTACATCGGCAGGATAGAACGGCTGACTCCGGTAAGACAAGGGGTGGCGGTCTGTGTATATTTGTAAACAACAGCTGGTGCATAAAATCAAATACTAATGAAGTCTCGAGGTTTTGCTCGCCTGAGGTAGAGTATCTTATTTTTATTTTTATTTTATTTCACCTTTATTTAACCAGGTAAGCCAGTTGAGAACAGGTTCTCATTTACAACTGCGACCTGGCCAAGATAAAGCAAAGTAGTGCAATAAAAACAACACAGAGTTACATATGGGGTAAAAAAAAAACATAAAGTCAGAAATACAACAGAAAATATATATACAGTGTGTGCAAATGTAGCAAGTTATGGAGGTAAGGCAATAAATAGGCTATAGTGCAGAATAATTACAATAGTATTAACACTGGAATGCTAGATGTGCAAGAGATTATGTGCAAATAGAGATACTGGGGTGCAAAAGAGCAAAATAAATAACAATATAGGGATGAGGTAGTTGGGTGGGCTAATTTCAGATGGGCTGTGTACAGGTGCAGTGATCGGTAAGGTGCTCTGACAACTGATGCTTAACGTTATTGAGGGAGATAAGAGTCTCCAGCTTCAGAGATTTTTGCAATTCGTTCCAGTCATTGGCAGCAGAGAACTGGAAGGAATGGCGGCCAAAGGAGGTGTTGGCTTTGGGAATGACCAGAGAGATATACCTGCTGGAGCGCAGACTACGGGTGGGTGCTGCTATGGTGACCAATGAGCTAAGATAAGGCGGGGATTTGCCTAGCAGTGATTTATAGATGGCCTGGAGCCAGTGGGTTTGACGACGAACATGTAGTGAGGACCAGCCAACAAGAGCGTACAGGTCACAGTGGTGGGTAGTGTATGGGGCTTTGGAGACAAAACGGATGGCACTGTGATAGACTACATCCAATTTGCTGAGTAGAGTGTTGGAGGCTATTTTGTAAATGACATCGCTGAAGTCAAGGATCGGTAGGATAGTCAGTTTTACGAGGGCATGTTTGGCAGCATGAGTGAAGGAGGCTTTGTTGCGAAATAGGAAGCCGATTCTAGATTTAACTTTGGATTGGAGATTCTTTATGTGAGTCTGGAAGTTGAGTTTACAGTCTAACCAGACACCTAGATATTTGTAGTTGTCCACATACTCTAGGTCAGACCCGTCGAGAGTGGTGATTCTAGTCGGGTGGGCGGGTGCTAGCAGCGTTCGATTGAAAAGCATGCATTTAGTTTTACTAGTGTTTAAGAGCAGTTGAAGGCTACTGAAGGATTGTTGTATGGCATTGAAGCTCGTTTGGAGGTTTGTTAACACAGTGTCCAATGAAGGGCCAGATGTATACAAAATGGTGTCGTCTGCGTAGAGGTGGATCTGAGAGTCACCAGCAGCAAGAGCGACATCATTGATATACACGGAGAAAAGTGTCGGCCCAAGAATTGAACCCTGTGGCACCCCCATAGAGACTGCCATAGGTCCAGACAACAGGCCCTCCGATTTGACACACTGAACTCTATCTGAGAAGTAGTTGGTGAACCACGCGAGGCAGTCATTTGAGAAACCAAGGCTATTTAGTCTGCCAATAAGAATGCGGTGGTTGACAGAGTCGAAAGCCTTGGCCAGGTCGATGAAGACGGCTGCACAGTACTGTCTATTATCAATCGCGGTTATAATATCGTTTAGGACCTTGAGCGTGGCTGAAGTGCACCCGTGACCAGCTCGGAAACCGGATTGCATAGCGGAGAAGGTACGGTGGTATTCGAAATGGTCGATGATCTGTTTGTTAACTTGGCTTTCGAATACTTTCGAAAGGCAGGGCAGGATGGATATAGGTCTGTAGCAGTTTGGATCTAGAGTGTCACCCCCTTTGGAGAGGGGGATGACCGCGGCAGCTTTCCAATCTCTGGGGATCTCAGACGTTATGAAAGAGAGGTTGAACAGACTAGTAATAGGGGTTGCGACAATTTCGGCGGCTAGTTTTAGAAAGAAAGGGTCCAGATTGTCTAGCCCAGCTGATTTGTAGGGGTCCAGATTTTGCAGCGCTTTCAAAACATCAGCTGTCTGAATTTGTGTGAAGGAGAAGCGGGGGGGGGCATGGGCAAGTTGCAGCAGAGGGTGCAGAGTTGGTGGCCGGGTTAGTGGTAGCCACATGGAAAGCATGGCCAGCTGTAGCAAAATGCTTGTTGAAATTCTCGATTATTGTAGATTTATCGGTGGTGATAGTGTTTCCTAGCCTCAGTGCAGTGGGCAGCTGGGAGGAAGTGCTCTTATTCTCCATGGACTTTACAGTGTCCCAAAACTTTTTGGAGTTAGTGCTACAGGATGCAAATTTCTGTTTGAAAAAGTTAGCCTTTGCTTTCCTGACTGCTTGTGTATATTGGTTCCTAACTTCCCTGAAAAGTTGCATATCGCGGGGGCTATTTGATGCTAATGCTGTACGCCACAGGATGTTTTTGTGCTGGTCAAGGGCAGTCAAGTCTGAGGAGAACCAGGGGCTATATCGGTTCTTAGTTCTGTATTTTTTGAATGGGGCATGTTTATTTAAGATTGAGAGGAAATTACTTTTAAGGAACAACCAGGCATCCTCTACTGACGGAATGAGATCTATATCCATCCAGGATACCTGGGCCAGGTCAATTAGGAAGGATTCCTCGCTAAAGTGTTTTAGGGAGCGTTTGACAGTGATGAGGGGTGGTCGTTTGACCGCGGACCCGTTACGGACGCAGGCAATAAGGCAGTGATCGCTGAGATCCTGGTTGAAGACAGCTGAGGTGTATTTAGAGGGTATGTTAGTCAGGATGATATCTATGAGGGTACCCATGTTTACGGATTTAGGGTTGTACCTGGTAGGTTCGTTGATAATTTGCGTGAGGTTGAGGGCATCTAGCTTGGATTGTAGGATGGCTGGGGTATTAAGCATATCCCAATTTAGGTCACCAAGCAGTACAAACTCTGAGGATAAATGGGGGGCAATCAATTCACATATGGTGTCCAGGGCACAGCTGGGGGCTGAGGGGGGTCTGTAGCAAGCGGCAACAGTGAGAGACTTATTTCTGGAAAGGTGGATTTTTAGAAGTAGAAGCTCAAACTGTTTGGGCACAGACCTGGATAGTATGATGGAGCTCTGCAGGCTATCTCTACAGTAGATTGCAACTCCACCCCCTTTGGCAGTTCTATCGAGACTGAAAATGTGTAGTTGGGGATGGACATTTCTGAATTTTTGGTGGCCTTCCTAAGCCAGGATTTAGACACTGCTAGAACATCAGGGTTGGCAGAGTGTGCTAACGCAGTGAATAACTCAAACTTAGGAAGTAGACTTCTGATATTTATGTGCAAGAAACCAAGACTTTTGCGATTACAGAAGTCATCAAATGATAGCGCCTGGGGAGTAGGAGTGATACTGAGGGCTGCAGGGCCTGGGTTAGCCTCTACATCACCAGAGGAACAGAGGAGGACTAGAATAAGGATACGGCTAAAGGCTTTAAGAACTGGTCTTCTAGTGCGTTGGGTACATAGAATAAAGGGGGCAGATTTCCGGGTGTTATAGAAAAGATTCAGGGCATTATGTACAGACAAGGATATGGAAGGATATGAGTAAAGTGGAGGTAAACCTAAGCGTTGGGTAACAATGAAAGAGATAGTAT